GTTCAACATAGCTGTATCTTTGAATGTTTCTCAACTAAAAATCCAAAAAACAGGCCTTGAATGTTCTCATCAGACACTTAGGGTCCACTATCTCCCTTCACTACAACCTATAATGAAGTGTATTATTGAAATTCCTCTGTGAACCTTTGTCTATTCTTTCCTAACACTGAAAACAAAGTTAATCACACAAACCCCTATTTGTTTAGATATATCCATACAAAGAGTTCCAAACCTCACCAGACCCCTGCTGCTACAAGCTCAGATCAGCCAAAACATTTTAATCCATTATCCTCTTAAAAGTCCGCTGATGCTCCCTAGTGGTACAAAGTGTATAGTTCAGAAAGTCATTCATCTGACTTTATCTAAATACTCTATCATACAGCAATACATGTACAATTATCAGCTGTCCCTTCATAAAGGTCAGAGTATATTGTTGCTGTGACCTCCAACATCAAGTACTGTAACTCATTTGAATTCTAGCGATTAGCGAGGAAGCTGTTTGGGGGGGAAAAACACCTGGATACCCCAGGATAACTTTAAGAGACATCAAATAGAATTGATAAAGCAGTAATATAACTGGCCTACGGCACTGCTGTAGTATCACACTTTGACCACAGTAGGCACTGCCAACTCTACAGTGCAACATAGTGCAACTAAACCTACTTCAAAGGCTTATATAAAAGAGATGGCATGACTTTGCAAGAACATCAAAGGCCCAAAAGCATCGTGCAATAACTACATCATAGCAAAAATAAAAAATGAAACATCTTTCATAATTCAGTCAAGTGTCAGTTTATGGAAGGCGCTCAAACTGAAGCCATATGTTATTCACACTGCCAACCATCTTAAAGGTATCAAACATCTACAGCACTGAAGAGGAAGCAATCATGGAGCTTGGTTTTGACTTTGCAGCCCAATCCTGCATGTCATGTAAAACAGTACCTGTAATTATAAATTTAGCATCCATGCAAGTTCAGATCCCATGGATGGAGGGATTTAGGAAACAAGTTTGCATTTGAGTTGTGATTTTTTTATTTTTTTTTATTTTTAGGAATGCTGCAGCAACTTAGTGAAGCTGAATTTACAGAAGCAATACACAAATCATCGATGTGACATTAGAAATGGGCAATCATGTGCATTAACCATGCTGATTAGAAATTATGAACACTTGAAATAGTCAACAGATTGAGGTCTCTAATGAGCTTCTAGTAAATAAAATGGCAGTATGTAGCCGACTGACTCTCCAAGAGCATCACCCATTTAAAATGTGTCATCCCTGTGACAAACTGGTGACCTGTCCAGGGTATACCCCCGCTTCGCGCCCGATGTCAGCTGGAATTGCCCCCCCCCCATGACCCTCTTCAGGATAAGCGGTATACATAATGGATGGATGGATATTTCTCTCCTCTGATTGTGTACATTTCTACATATATTCTGTATGTTATTTTGTGAAACTCGTCTGTGTTGATGTCCCTCCAACACTTTTACCAGACCTGTTTTTTCCGCCCACCAGTGTGACTACATTTTCACAAGTACATAAGGTGACACTGTTCATTATTGCTTGTACTCACCTTCAGCTGACACCTTGGACTTTCTCGTTGACACAAATCCTGCACAGGACCTGTAGATAAACATTGAGTAATGTGGCAGAAAATATTATCTCAGTTCACTATAACAGTTTCCTTGTAAGATTTACAAAATGTATACAGTATGCATTTAACAAAGAGGGACTTAAACTTTAGCTTTTATCAGAAGAAAACACTATCTCAAATTATAGCCAATAGTAACACTGATAAAATGTATTAAAATCCAAGCAACACAAGCATTTCCTAAGTCAGAAAGAAGTCTGCCCTTGATTGTATTCAGTTTCTGAACCGGGGTTTGAATTTAACAAATAAAAACAGTAACAAAGGAATAAACAGGTTTCGATATAATACAATAACACAAGCATATGCACCCAAGACTTTGCAATTGTTTGCAACTGTAGATTTGCTGTAAAATAGAAAGCCAATATTTCTATCTGCAGATGTTGTATACGCAATGAAATTCAGAATCAATCTTCATCTAGAAGGGCAAACAGACTTTGTTTTCCTCTGATCACAAAATAATTATTTTGTGATTAACATGAAAATTGTTGTTCTGACCTGTGACAAGTTCTGCTTCCTTGTGAGCACACACAAGAAAAAGCATTTTGATAAGGGAATCATCTATAATCTGCAGACATCCAGTACAGCAATCTCTATTGCTTAATGAAGTTATTATAGTTTTATACTGTATATCTGCAGCCAAACTAGATCCCTGTAACGATTTAAGATTTCTACATGATAATGTGGTTTGACAGTAAGTTAATGTATGTTTTTATATTTCCATAATAGAGATTAATGGTTAACATACAATACAGTGACTGAAGGTAATTGATTTAAAATCTCTGGCTAATGGCCTTTGTGTGTTTAATTCATTTGCATTCAATTTTGTCATAATGCCTGCATACAACAAAACCTTGTCATTCACGACAGTCCAACTTCCTATAAGCAATATACATGGGTTCTTTTCACATACGTTGATTTTATATGTCAATTATTGTTGAAGCTCAAATAATGAAAAACTAAAACTGACAGAGGTGGAGACAGAGGTATCCAATAACACAACTGACAAACAATGGTGTGTTTCCACTATTGGAGCCTAATGAGCAGTACAACCCATACTCCAGTGTTCAGACTCAGTTTCAAAGGTGTAGAAAAGCTCAGCTCTCCTTGTTCATCACCGTGTCTACATCAGCACAGCAGGAGGCTCTGGCAAAATGACAACTCTATTCGGCCAAAAAGTTGGATCTGATTCAACTTTCACTGCACTGGATGGCGGCGTCATCTGGCAAAGGCATAGCCTTTGGGGTTGACAAGGACCATCCTGCTTTAATTTTCCATTGTATTTTCTCTCTGTCGATCTCTGTTTAGAGGAGGGAGGTGCTGCTCCCCTCTCACACACACACAGTCAGCTGTAATGGTGACTGTGTGTTGTAATGCTAATGCTTGAGGTGTGAAGATGCGGACATTTGACCAATCACCGGTGACTGCTTTGCGCGCATGCCCCCCCTACCTCCTGAGGGGTGCTGAAATTTAGCTCCCAGAATGTACCGCCAAAGTGGATACAGAATCCACGACGAGCATTACTCGGCGCAACATGTTTTGGTAGTTTCCTATAATGGAAAAACCCCTTTAGAGAGAGTGGACTGTGGATTCTGAATCTTACTCTGATAAAACTGGGCTAACTGTATTTGTGTTATAGTGTGTTGTGGTGCAGTTCGAGTGGAAGGGAGGGACAAGGCCATTATTAGTTTCACTCTATAAGTAATTGTGTTTGAAAACACACAAGTAGTTCCCATGTAGTGCCTATCAACGCTGGCTGAAGAAGAATTACATTTTGAGCTCCTAGCAACTTTTGGATGGTTTCACTCTCCAGTTCAAAAGGTTCATATACTGTAATATAGATGGGTATGCCCTTATACTGCAGATGGGTGACAAATTAAAGGAAAAGCCTGAATAAATGGATGACACTGTCCCCATCCACAGAGCACATGGGGTCACTGGATGGTTTGATGAGCATGACAATGAATGATATGCTGTGGCCTTCACAGTCACCAGAGCTCAACCCAATTGAACACCTATGTAAGATTTTGGAGCAATGTGTTAGCATCTCCACCACCATCATCAAACAAACAAGTGAATATCTATTTGGAAAAATTGTGTTCATCCATCCAGTAGAGTCCAGAGACTTAGAGATTCAATGCTAAGGTGCACTGAAGCTGTTCTGGTGGCATGTGGTGGCCCATCACCTCACTGAGACACTTTACTGTTTGTTGGTTTGTCTTTTCATTTGTCACCAGTTTGTAGCTTCACTTTGCAGAAGACACAAACATAATAGCAGTGTACATTTTTTTAAAAAACACTTTAGAGTCCACACTTGCACTAACCTTGAAAACAAGGCTTCTCCAGTGACGTTTACAAAGGAATAAATAAAATATTTACCAAATCGCAAATATTTATAGAGGAGTCATGTGACCTATGAATTGGCTTCGGTGATTTCCAGAGAGCACTGTGACAGTGTTCAGAAGGTTACTTCAACAAACATGCAAGTTTACATTTATGACATTTATGTTTATATTTTTAGTGGGTAAAGATTGTCAAAAGAAGAGTAGGTAAAAATGACAATATTAAGAGTTAAGTTCAAGTAATCAACTCATTATTTCCTTGAGATATTCATATACAGTATTATATTATAATGAGGGGATGTGTTTATAGTATTGGATGTATAAAAACCTATTTTTATCAAGGCAAGTGGTTGAGGTTGAAGACAAATACTTTTTTTCTTAGCAAAATTGAGTTTTTCCTATACTTCATCTTTCAGAAATTAAAAATCTTGTTAGGGAAATGTTTACAGCAGAATAAAAAGATGAAAATGCATATCAGGTTAGCCAGACAGGACATAAACACATGAAAACTCCACTCCTCTCAGTTAGATGCTTACATAACCAAGTGTACCATTTCTAAAAATCAATACATGCAGATTTATAACAAATCCCTCAGAGTAAACAGTGAAGATGGCCTGTGACCGAGAGATCTCCCAGAATCCTCTGTTTGTTATACTTGTATAAAGGCCTTGACAATTACTCATTTAAATATTCTTATACTGCATATATTTGTGTTGATTACTTGCAGAAAAGTAATATCATTTTATATTTGATTTGATATTCCATGATTTTTTATTTTATTTTTACTTTAAAAAAAATCCTGTGGCCTGTTCGTTTAACAGGTTAATGTCCAGAGGATGGTTCCAGGACAAGGTAAACAATGGGGGCTCCATGGGGGAAACTGAGGCGGGCCGGATGGTGACTGTGTCCTCATGAGTGATTGGATGAGGTGACTCTTTAAAAATCTGGATTGCATTGAAAGCAGTCTAAGTAAACAGTCAAACAGCTTTGCTGCAACCGATTTGGACGAGTCATGAGTGGATGTCCGTACTTTGAGAAGAAGCATCTGTATGTTCAAACCGCCACTGCACCTAAAATAGCGCTCTGAAGGAATTTGCCTTCTCTATTTTCAATGCTTGTTTCCTTTTTTGCATACTCCAGTGCAACTCTGTAACACTTGTATCACTTTAAGTGCTCAGCGTGATTTAATTCTGGGAAAACACTGTAACAAAAAGCTTTCTGTTTTCACACCACAGGTTATTTAAAAACAAGCTTCCCAAAACAGAAGATGAGGATGCTTCTCAGGCAGGGGTTAACAAGGCCAGTAAAGGAGGAATCATCTATGGAGACTACCTGCAGGTAAAAAAAACAACAAAAAACAACCTATCATATGAATCGGTGTTTGTGCGTCACTTTTTTATGAAAAATACATCATGGAATTTAAATTTTTTTATGTTAAGCAATTTCTTTTTTCCAAACCTCAGCTCAACAAAGTACTGTCAGCGCAGGTGTTACAGAGTGAACTAAAGGGTAACAAGATCCATGACGAGCACCTTTTTATTGTCACCCATCAAGGTAAAACAAGCTTTGTAGAATTTAGGAGTAACTTTTTTTATTACTGGTCTTGCAAAAATGAAATTGTTGTTTTAACCTTGTATTTTAGTGAATAAGTGGGTAATTGAATTAGTTTGCAATCAATTTTACATGTGTTTTTGTGTTTGTTTTTATATTTGAATCTTTGAATTTAGTAATTAATTTAAAATAATGGAAATGGCTCTCCTGGGATAAAAAGTAACATAAAAAAACAAAAGCTATCTTCCAAGAAGCAGATTCTGACTTGTTTAAAAATTCTAATTTCTTTGTTTACCTTGTAATATTACAATGAAATGTTTAGATTTTTTAACTTTTGTTTTCGCCCAGCCTACGAACTGTGGTTCAAACAGATTTTATTTGAAATTGATTCCGTGCGAGAAATCTTCACCAACGAACACGTAAGTCACATTTCTGAGGGATCTAATAATGCACATTTAAGACTGTAAATTTGCATGAATGAATATGATCAAAGATTTTTATTGTCAATTCACTATATGTGCAGGACATACAGAAAAATCGAAATACTGTGTCTCTCTCACCTAATGTTGAATGCTCATACCATTTAAGAAACTAAAATAGTAAAAAGAATAAAAGTAGAATAAACACAGAATAAATAGAAAATGAAAAGTGATTAATAAGTAATAAGGATAAACTAAATAGGCTATGATGAAACTCAAAGCCATGTGCAAACAGTGACATCAGTATAAATAATAACAAGAACATTGTCAGGTGGTCAGCATCACCAGGGGCATTGCATAATAGCTTATGAAATGTCCATGGACAGCAGTGCAAATGACCAACAGCAGCAGATATGATGTTAAAAAAACAGTCAGCAGCAGATTCACATATAATATGACAAAAAGGGGGAATGTATTGAGTTTGTGCAAACAGCAGGGGTAGTCTTTTTATGTTCTGTGGTGGGGTATGGTCCAGTGGCAGAGGAGGGGAGGTAATGGACAGCGTTCAAGAAACATTGTGTAGTGTATCTTCTCTTAGATATGATTCAGGAATAGGGAATACAGCAGATCTCTTCTGTTAAAAGAGAAAGCTCTATTTAATAGGTCCGTGCAGATTCTCAGTCATCCAGGTCATAGTAAGCTGAAAAACGTTAAAAAAATCAACTGGACTTGGTTTTAGATAGAAGATGTTTCACCTTTCATCCAAGAGGCTTCAACAGTTCTGTTCAACTGGTATTGAGCCGAAGATATTTATCCCCATTGGTGGTGTTTCAGTCCTTTGATGGCCAACAATGTCCCCTAATGACTGATATGTTGCGATTCCAACACACAACAGACACAGATTTCAACACAGAGTGATGTGGTGTATGCAATTAAATGTAGTCTGGAGTATAACGACTTGTACATTGGTGAAACTAAGCAGTCGCTGCACAAACGCATGGCCCAACACAGGAGGGCCAACTCCAGTGGACCAGAGTCAGCAAAGGACAAAGGACATTCTTTTGAGGACGGTGATGTCCGGATCCTCTCCAGGATCACACTAATTCACACCAGGACAATAGGCATCGGGGCACAGGTGAGGGTTGAAAGACAGGTAACGACGCTCACCGATACCGGGCTATAATGACTCAGTTGTTAGGGGACATTGTTGGCCATCAAAGGACAGTTGAACAGAACCGATGAAGCCTCTTGGATGAGAGGTGAAACGTCTTCTATCTAAAACCAAGTCCAGTTGATTTTTTTCTACATTTTTCAGCTTCTATTTCTCAGGAGTTTTATGTCTTATTCAGCCTATTTCTGGAGTTTAGGCAGGGATGGTGATGTTCTAGATTAAAATTAAAGGTAGTTGTAATTATTTGTTTTCCCCGGAAGAAACACATTATCGATGAAATAGGGACACAAACCTTCTGGTCATTAAACTTATTTTTTATTTTGTGTGTGTGTGTGTTAGAATATGTACTTACAAGCTTTACTAGGATTAACAATTACTACCTTGAACATTCTGCTTCTTCGTCAAGGTTCGAGATGAACGCAACATGCTCAAAGTGAACACTCGCATCCACAGGACTGTAACGATTTTCAAACTGTTGGTTGACCAGTTTGCAGTTTTGGAAACAATGACAGCTTTGGACTTTTTTGACTTTAGGTGAGCTCATAAATAACTTTTAGGCATCTCTATTTCAGCTATAAAAAAAACTTATGAGATGCACTGTCTGTACTGTGTGCAAAGTCCAGTTTACGTGTGTGTGTGTGTGTGTGTGTGTCTGTGTGTGTATGTAGGGAATACCTATCTGCAGCTTCTGGCTTCCAAAGCCTTCAGTTCCGGCTCTTGGAGAATAAAATTGGGGTCCCGGAAAACCTCAGGGTTCCATACAACAGATGCCATTACAAGGACAATTTCAGTGGTCACGACAGTGAGATGCTGCTCTCCTCTGAACAGGAACCGACACTCTTAAAGCTAGTCGAGGTACATCCACCACCCACCTGCACGTGGGCATACATTTTTAAGTCACAAGTTAAACAGAGAAGACAACACTCTGTTTGCTTTATCTTGCTCTGGATAAACAGAACATAGTATAAATGTGACAACAATGTATAAATGGGCTGTTCTTCTCAGGGGTGGCTGGAGCGAACTCCTGGCTTGGAGGTGGATGGATTCAATTTCTGGGAAAGGCTGGAAATCAATATATTTGATGGGCTGAATCAGGAGAGGGAGGAAATTGAGGTAAGAGATGGCTCCAGCTTTCAGAACAAAAATTTTTTTTTTTTGTGCTTTCCCTGGAGTGCACAGATGATTGACAGGAGACTATTTTTATTTATGGCTTTTTTTTTTTTTTAAAGAAAATGCCAGATTCCGAGGAGAAGGAGGAAATGATGGTAGAGCTGGTCAAACAGAAAGAGCTCTACAGCTCTCTGTTTGATGAAAAGCGTCATGACCATCTCCTTAGCAAAGGTGAGTGCATTTAACAAATTAAAAATTTATCAAATGTCATAACCCTGTTTGCCATTGCTTCACATACAGCAGGTTCTGTTTGTGATGTACATTTGACTCACCACTGTGTGAGTTCTATGGGTTATGTTTGAATTTTAACATTTAGGCTCTAAACAGAATTACTTAATATTGTTTCCATTTTGCTAAGTAGGTGAGAGGCGGCTCTCTTACAAGGCCCTGCAAGGTGCTCTGATGATTTACTTCTACAGGTATGTAATTTGCCTCCATCTTCATCTAGTCAAACTCTGCTGACAAAGTGCACCTGCGTGAGGTTTCCTTCAGATTCTTACATTTATATGCTTCTACACTAGAGAGCTGCACAGTATACACAGTCTGTTGACCACAGCTTCATGGGGGCAGTTGGAGTTTTAACATCGTGCCCTGTGCTAGTTCTTAAGACAGGTGTACTCATTCATTCCTCTGACCCAAAATTTCCATATCACATCCCTTTTTTAAAAACCCTGTCAGCAATCCAGGTCATGTGAACTCTAGCAGTTGTTAAACACCAACAGCTGGACTCTGTGTGGTCTTGAGGACGTTTGTTTCATGTTATATCAGATCGTCTTTGTCCAATTTACCAAAATGTGTGGAAACCAGGCTTGTGTGGCCAAAACACAGCATCAAGCGAGACTCGTTAAGGCTTCCTGAGAGTCAGTCATGTAACATTCAATGTATGGTGATAATTAATGTGACACTGCTGGGTTTAAGATGTTAACTGCATTGTGGATACTGAACAAGTGATAGTCGTTTCACAACTGCCGTCGACACCAACCAGAAAGATTTTCATGCGTCACTTTATCTTTTGTAAAAAAAAAAATATTCTCAAATCCTCTCCTGCCTTTAGGGAAGAGCCAAGGTTCCAGGTTCCTTTCCAGCTGCTCACATCCCTCATGGATATTGACACCCTCATGACAAAATGGAGATGTAAGTGATGTAACATCTCTGTCAGTTGCTGCATATGCTTACTAGCCAAAAAAAGGCTAATTTCTACAGGAAACCAATGCTGTGATACTTTGCCCAGAGGCAGAGCTGAACTAAGAGGAGAGTTTGCAGAACTAAAGTTAGTTCACAACCTCAGAGGCAGAAGACTCTCATAGTATCCTCCACACTTTCTGATCCATCCAACAAACTATTCCTATGAAATAAATTTTTCAGTGATCCACGTCTCACTTACATCCACACAAGTTATGGCTCAAATGAAACATGCAGAGCCAAAACAATCACTCACATCACAATGAATATTTCTGTCTTTTGTTTCAGACAATCATGTATGCATGGTGCATCGTATGATTGGCAGCAAAGCTGGCACAGGGGGCTCATCTGGCTACCAATACCTGAGATCTACTGTCAGGTATCGTATGCTGTAAATGTGAACTTCCTGATTAAACACTTTACACTGCAAGTATGTTAAACACTTCCAAGTTCATTTAGATAAGCACAGAATGGTGCTACTCTGTGCTTATCTAAATTAACCTGCCATATGGTCACTTCATCCAGACATGCAGAAACTATATTTAAAGTTCATTTTGAAGGAGCAGCATCCAGTTCAACCCAGCTTTTGTCCTTCAGAAAGTTCAATTTGTAACAGATGCTCAATTACGTTGTAAGACTACATGCGTTAAATATTTAATCTATAATTTTCTTTCCCTTTAGTGACCGCTACAAAGTGTTTGTGGATCTGTTCAATCTGGCAACATTCCTGGTGCCTCGCCACTGGGTGCCCAAGCTGAACCCCAGTGTTCACACTTTCCCCTACATGGCCGAGTGCTGGGACAGCTCCTACTGCACCAGTGAAGACTCAGACTAGGGGGCGTCTCAGTTGTCTATCTCGGCTCCCTTTCTATCATTGTAAGAGACCTCACAACAGTGGATCATTTGCACAGTGGAAAAGTTCAAGTGACAGGGGCACAGGTAAATTGGTGACCATCAAAACATGCTAAGAGTTGTGCATTTTGTTGAGAAGATGAGAGGATTTCAGTCCTGTGATATGCTTTCTCAGGTTGGTGAGCCTGAGAAAGTACATACACTGAAATTCTTTTGCAAGAAAATAACAACAGCAGTCATTACATTCCCTTTTAGCAGAAAATTATCAAATACTACAAGAAGGAAACAGCCAAAATATGATTATTTTGGAGCAAATAGAATCTTAACTTGATGGTTTTCAGTTGAAAGAGGGGAGAAGAAGGACATGAGACAGAGGACAATTTAGTACAAAGATTTTTACATGTAAATACAGATAAATAGCAAGTGTACAAAATTACAAAATGTGTACATTTTATTGTTTAGCAAGCGAAGTACAAAAAAAAATTTCAAAAACATTTTCACTGTGACAGTAAAGTATACCAAATATTCTATAATTAAGCTAGAAAAAAAAATAAACAGCATTTTTAGTTATATCAGTATGCACAACCTGTGATGCAGTGTCTGACCCTTAAATAATCACCTTAGGCTAGGTTGCTCTAATGTCTAATCCTAACTTATAGCAGACGGCTCCCTGATAAGATTTGCTTAGATGTTTTTTGTTTTTTTTATTAAACTATGCAAATTCACTGTGACTGACCTGAACATGGATGGATCGCTGAAAGCAGTGATCAAACTGGTGGTGAAAATTAGTGTTTTACAAACATCATTTTTCACAACAGCACAGGGAAGGTGTCAGAGAGGGAGACATTTCAGACTATTGTGATATGGCTTAGGTGCAAACCTCTGTATGAACAATCAATGTCAGCATCTAAAATAGAGCATTTTGCATAAAAATATAAAATATAAACCAACATTTGAACATAATGTTAATGTAGCTATTAAGAGGTTCTGTATTTTCTTAATTTTATATATTTATGCAGTAATTAATGTGATCTCTGTATCAATAGTTGTGAGTAATATTAGCCATAATATTACTACTGTAGCTCTGTAACATGTATCTACCTTATGTATTTAATAAGATATATATTTTGTACCATGCATGTACTCTTATTTAGTTTTACTGTAGAGTGATGGTGTTAATTGCTGTGCTATCAACCAGCATATGAAATGATTTATTTTGTCTTAGTGATGTGAGATGGTGGCATTTCAATAAAAATATTAAGGTAACACTTTAAACTGATGCAGCACTGAACATACACACAGTCACTCATGGATGTTATATGTAATATCGAATGTTATCAAAGAAAAACTGCTGCCACAGAATCTGCAATACCTGGGAGATAAAATTAAAGATGTGTTAATCCCTTAACTTGCAGACACCAAACTAAAAGGACATATAAACAGAATATGACAAAAGGTAGAGATCATACATACCACAAACACTGTCCCCAATTTTTATATAAACATAACCTTCATTCCCCCATGAGGTTCCCCAGGAGTTCTGCACAATCCAATATGGAATATCCCCTAAGACAGACAGCATACATTTCAACATTGAATTATTTACAGGGTAATGGAGCACTAGGTGTGTGTGTGTGTGTGTGTGTGTGTACTGCAGCTGCAACCACTTTAAGCCCTTACATAATCACTCCTATCCTTGTGTAATACCCACAAAACACAAGTGTACTGTATGTGAAATAATTAATGAAGAGAAATATAAAATATTTCTATGCATGAATTATAAAATGTCAAGAAACAAACACTAAGAGCATATATCGATAGTAATATTTAACTGTGCATCTTCAAAGTATTCTAAACACAAAGAGGTAAAAGGTTAATGGTCTAAATAACCAGAATTTCAATACTGTGAAATCTTGACATGACATGAAGTGTACATAAAAGATTGTCCTGGATCAGAGAGTACCCAGGACAGCTCAAGGCAAAAGGTGGAATACTAAAATGCAAAAAAAAATCTACTCTACAAACTACTACAAAAATAGTAATAATTGACACTCATGTTCTGCTTTCAGTTCTTATTCTTCTGAAAACTACAGAAATGTTTCAGCTGTGATGTGAGACAATGACATGTTTCCAATTCACTTATAGCTCTTGAGGAAAACACCTTACTACACTGAGTAAATTAGAAAATGAAAACACCTCAATTATCACTAAAAACTATCTTGCCCTGCTAGTAGATGTTTCCCTTGATATAAGAAAGTTATAATTTTAGAACTCATGTGTTGTTTTAGCACTTAATTAGCTCTGTTTGTGATTAAGGCTGATTAAGACTGGAATATTTTTACCTAAAAATCTGGTGCTTTACTTTCACGTGCCCTAGGGTTTCAACGTGTTTAAATGATAGCTCAAATAAAATATAAAATCCCTCTTTGTCTTGAATTATGATTCCTCCTCATGTCTGTGTGGTGGTGGTATATACTGTACCAGTGGTGTCGTATCCAACAACCAGGACAGCATGGTTCGACCAGTGGCTGGAGCAGTGGTGCTGGATAATTCCACCCAGGTAATCTTGCCAGCTGACAGCATCCACAAGAGCAACCAGAGGACCACACTCCACCAGCTGACCCATCATGGCCTTCTCCTGGCCACTAAACAACAGAATAATGTTTGCATGTTTGACCATGTGATGACGCTGCTTTTTGAGGCATTATCAGGTGAATTAGACTCTAAAGTCAGGGGTTGGAAAATGTATTAAAATACACCCATTAAATAAGATATGGAGGATGTTAACTTAAGTTCAGTGTTTCACAGGGACTATTTTTGCAATTTTACCACCACTTGCCTCTCTGCTCGCCGCCTCCTCCTCTCATTCATCCAATCAGTGCATCGCTGTCTGACCAACTACAGCACATTTTGTTACTCATGAAATTGATAGTTTCATCATTCTCCTTCTAGCACACTCTGCCATCTTGTCCTTCCACCACATGATTCCCAATGGGGGCAACTGTGTTGCCCTTCTCTCCCAGCTCATGACATATGGAGGGGTCATGCAGTCCAAGTCTGGGCTAAAATTACATCCATTAAAATATTTTGCTGCTCATTCACAATGAGGTCAGATCTTGGCTTTGTTCAACTGTTTAATCATGCTTTTCTTTTGCTATGCTGTGGTACAGACGTGGCTTATGATCCCATTCAACCAAAGGTTAAGACTTAACCATGAACCCTGAGCCTCCATCCTGTGGATGTGTCCAATTCCAACTGTTTGATGTACTCAGTGACCCAGCACTCCAATCTTTTTGAAGACAGGGGCAGGTCAAAAGGCAAATGCTTGTACTGGATCAGTGGATTGTTGAAATAAAGAGAAAGTAGCATGACACTGACATTTAGTATGAAAATTAGCATTACACTGGCAAATCCTATATCTGAAAAGTTATATCCAATGCAAATGAAATATACAAAAGAATTCACAGACATAAGAACATTTAATATCCGGTTGGAAAATGTAACTATTCTGCCTGTTAACTACTCCAGCAAAATGAAAACAGCATAAATTCTGACAGGGAGTCCTGATGATAGATATGATAGCAATATAACAATGTTGTGCTAATAAAAAACATATTAGGTATTACATATGCACTGTGAGTCATGGCTCTCCTGTTATGCTTTACAATGGGTCAATGTGACCCATTGTAAAGTTCAAAATCTAAAAACAACAGTTAAAAGTATTTTATTGGTATGAAACCTCAGCTTGGCTTAATAGGTGTAATCAACATGTAAAATGAAAATGGTTCATTTCACATATTTACAACCTCCCCCTGCATGTTTATATTACAAAAATATTGTTTGGGTCAATTTGACCCTGAACAGAAATAACAATGCATTTTATATGTAGGTCTTTCCAATGTACATTAAAAAAAGTTTTAACAGGCATTTTTATGAAAAATTAGTGCATTATCCTCATTGAACCATAATCTGTGAGAGGTAAAGAACACCATTGCACTAAATAGTGATTGAAATGGTTAATAATGGTAAAATTAACCCAGGAACATCACTGCTGTTCCTGAGAAATGAACATAACAGGCGGGTTAAATAAAGAGGATCATATTTGTTTTAACCCAAGGTAACCTTTTGGGCCTAAATATCTGGACCAGAGTCAAGAAACTCTGTGCTCCTGAGTAATCCATGCATGTGTTGACACAATCTGGTATGTCACTGTGCAAGACCAACACTTCCTCCTCTCTCCTGTGTCCTTGATACTTTATAAGAAAAACTCATGCAAATTCAATGTGATTTTACCCCAATACAGTGTTGTTTTACTCATTATTGCAACAGCAGGCAAAAAGGTGTCTTTTACCCAAAGTCATGCGCTGTGAAGTTCTTCAGTGCAACACCACCATGTGACTGGGAGAAATAATGGCAGATTCCTGTCTTGGCCTTGTAGGAGTACTCTGACTCGAGCACCAGTTTCACTCTGGTCTAGAAAGGAAGTACACGGAATATCCATTCATCTTGTTTATGAGAGATTCTGGTACAGCAGTTTTCTAATTGTAATGTTTGACTAGAGAACACAAATCTCATTTTGCTTACTGCCACTACATGTCTCTGTAATAAAAAATACATGACTCCATTACCTTATTACCAAAAGCTTAAATTTAAAACAGCATGGATAATCCTGTATCTTCACACAGGTCTCCTCTTTCAAAACACTTACTTGAGGTCCATCTCTGGGACATGTCAAGTACGATATTTTAAGGTTTATTCGACCTCATTTGTTAAAATGTTAGAGCCATCAAATTAGGTAAAAATATCAACGTATACCTGTTTTAACCAATCCAAAGCCTGTAATGTGGAGCCTCCATTGCAGCCTTCATTTTTATAAGAGCAGTCCAGAACCTGCTGCACACTGAGTCGCTCTAGCGTGGAGCCTTCTATAGCATGGACGGACTGCATGGCACCAACCACACTAAATGCCCAGCAACTCCCACACTGCAAAAGTAAAATTATAATAATGAGAAAAATCTAACAGCAAAGGAATGCTGAAACATTATTTAGGTCTGGATCCAAATTAAGAATTCCATCACATATTTTAGTCCCCAGAAGGGAAAAACATTGTTGTTTTGCTACGTTTCACTCAAGGACACTTTAGTGAAAAATAGTTTATCCTGATAAACACTGGTCTCTGCCCCAATGCACCCCTGCTGGTCAAACCACTGCCATGATACATCTTTAAAGAGCTCTCCACCAGTCTGCAAACGACAATTTTTAAATCCCAAAGTGGTTTGTATAGAGAACAAAATACAAATAAAACTTAAAACATCTGTTCCAAAATACATCATGTTTGAATTTGATGGCATTTGAAACCATAATTTTAAAGGCTCTCTGACCAGAAATCTCCAGAGTGTATTTGCTGTACGCAGTTATAAGGTGAGCTGATCTGGTCAGTCGGACTGAACTGTGACTAATTGTTTTCTGCTGCCATCTACTGACAGAAACAACACAGGTGTACTGTGTCTTGAGGAAAATCAATTTCTGCTTCAATTAATTTACTCAAACTTTAAGCCTGGGGATGCTTTAAGATATTTAGATTCCACAAGTTGCTCTTACAGTACTCTTCATATCTGATATACAGTAGACTGCTTTCCCAAAACCACTTTTTTTTTTGTTTGGGAGAGTGAAAACAGTATTTCATTATGTCATGTAGGAGAGGGCATTTTCCTGTGCAACATTTGCAAAAGCAATCTCATCCTCCAAACAACATCAGACTATCTCTGTTCACTTGCTCAGCATAAATCCCCATGAATATAATGAAAGCACAAGCTCTCCGTGTAAGAATCCAATATTTTGTTGCCCAATATGGTTCCATGGCTTAAAATCAATAGTGAACCAAAATCAGTCATTATTGCTTGGACTGGAGATAAGTATGTGCTGAGTATACAAAATATTAGGACCATCTGTTTCTCGTTTAAAGCAATGAAATGTGCTTGAGTCATAAAAGTGGAATGAAGATAAGGGAAAACTGAATCAAGAAACATTTATGAGCAGTGAGTGACTTGATACTTTGTGTCTTTGTGCATGGTACTACATTTTATTTTCTGTTTATATATCTATCAGTCTGTTGGGGAAGATCAGCCCAAGCAAGTCCACTGACAAAGCCAGAAGTCTGGGCAGAAAAACCGCTGCAGAGCAGAGCGGTAGGTGAGTGTGTCATGTACTGAATCTCCCTAGAGTGGTAAGCCTTACCTGAATTCATGAGAGTTAAAGTTATTCTGCTGGCTTTTACTGTGTGGGCTATGTCTCTCCCTTAGGAAAACAGTTTTATAGTAAAAATATCATCCCCAACGGCAACCTGACTGACTAAAGATATAGGACAAAAAGAGCAGAGAGTGAACCCTGAGTGAGGACAAGCAGCAGCTCCATCTCACTAACACTCCCTCCCTCTTGGTGTCCCTAGGTTCACTCTGCTCTCTGAGCAAAGTACACTTTATGGCTCACTTTGTCATTTTCTCTTTTGCTTTTGCTTAACCATTATTAAACATGCATTTTGCTTATGGCTACTTCATGTTCGACCTTTACTGCACAGAATAATACATGCACCGAGTCAGACACTAGAAAACTCTTTTAAGATTTATCTATTGAAGGGGGAAGGGTTTTTTTGTGTTCTTTTCAAACTAGACAACAAGTGCCAGGTGGTGCTGCTGACATTCAGTGACTGGGAATTCACACTAAAAGTGAGACGTGAGCAGCGCATAAGCTACTGAAGCATTAGATCTGTTCAGTCCACAATGACTCAGACCTCAGTGCAGTGTCGCTGTCATCAGAACAGCTGTCTGTCTGTCAGCAGGACAGTGACCGGATAAACAGTCTGTGGGGGTTATGCTTTGTTAAATGCACCAGAGAGAAGAAACGTGAAGTGCAGAAAACCAGGGTCCAGGGGTGACACGTGTCTCACACACATCTCTCAGTCATAGATTAAATTAGAGATTTATCTGTTGCGTCAGAGGTGTAAGTGATGATTTCTAGGAGAACTGGCCTTAACCTGTAGCAGCCAAGAAAAATACAAGTCGTGGGTATGTATTCTGGATTAAAAATGACACACACAACAGTAAGTGTGAATATTAAGTTTTAAACAAAACTCCAACTGCAGTGTAAATACTTTGTATCTCAAACATGTTTGTTGAATTGGAAGGTCACCACTGGTCCTTATTTGTATTTAAATCACACCTGAAAGTGAACAAAGGATCTCAATAGATTTTTAGAATTACACTTCTGTTACAATTTAGGTAATAAAAATATAACTGCGTGAAACAGGAATATAATATCACTTTATCAATCGCAGGCCCTTGAATCAAATCGAAATCGCATTGTGGCATATTTTGAAGTATCGGCAAATATCAGCTCCCTGGTAAAGAGAATCAATATAGGATCATATCGTGATGAGCGTGGCGATTTACATCCCTAATGCGCACATCTCTTTGAGACATACAGGGCCAATTGTGACTTTGTGATATCCGTGTGATGTGGAAGCTAACGCCTGCTGTGCAGACACACCCAGAACAGACTTTCAGTGAAGATGTCATGTGTCTACTAGTTGTTTTTTAAAAATATTTTTATAAGGGAGAAGAGGTAAGTGTAATTTTTGAAATTTTAACAGTTTTTGTGGAAAACCCATAGCAGAGATATCATTAACTTTATACCTAATAAGAACTGAAAAGCAAACAATAAACCTGTTCAGGACCAACATCGTCATTTAATATGTTTGATGTAACCCAACTGTCTTTGTACCTGCAGTGCATTCCTACCTATACAGTACATCTATCATCTACTTGTGTAACTTACTGCTTGTTGGTTTTGGACCGGTGACACCACTGCTTTGTCCCTCCAGTCAAATCTGGCTGGGAGCCCCTCTGTCTTCAGTCCAGAGAAAGAGGGAGCTCTGGCAGTGCTTGCTCGCAGGTAGAGCTCTGCAGACAGATACAATTTAATGTACTGTATACAGTGACTGCAGGTTCAGCCCAGCCATCCAGGAGATAACGTGTGAAACACCCCACTAGACAAATATAAAATGAGTGAATATATTTCACCTGAAAAAGCATCTTCAGAAATAAAGAAGCTGTCTGGATAAACAGTAAATTCTCATCAGCTGTCACAGCTGTTGAGGGGATTCAAAATACAAAGAACTCAGAATATAAACTTAAAAGAGACAACAAAACTTCAGCCTACCCCTGAATTCCTTCTGTGATAGATCTGAGAACTGGTTGATGCCATATTTTGCAGAGTGTGGTGCTGCAGAAAATGAGTTCAGGTATTTGTGCCGCTTCATAGTGTCCTGCAATAACAAATGCACACAATGTGAATGCTTCACTACTACTACTACTACTAATAATAATAATAATAACAAAACTTTTTTGAGGGCAAAGTAATTAATAAAAATAATCAAGTGAAACAACTCTCCATATAACATAAGTCAATTCAACAAAGACTCATCTTATATGCAGAGATTAATAGAAGACTCACAAAGCCAGGTGTGTTATAGGCTACAGCAATATTTACTTGAAGTTTGTTTTACATTAGCTCATTACTCACCATAAGATACTGGTTATACAAGACCTAACAGTAAACTTATCTAATCTATAGTATATTTCCCTATTCAAGAGGACATTTTGTTTATAGGCTGGCAGGTACACCCCTAAGTGTCAATGTTATTTTGAATGCTGGATTTAATTTAACTTGTAATGAAATATCGTTACTGTACACTGTGGCGTTACAGTTTTTACTTAGTCTCAGTACTTCTCCCATCGTCATTCAATGATATAAATCGCATAATACACCGTTAATATGTTTTTTTTTTCTATACTTTATTAAGGCATATGACGGTAGTTATACATAAGTAAATAGATCGGAAACAAGAGGACTATAGCATAAAATAAAGAACATAAAAACAAGAACAACATCGAAGCAGACAATGTGAACATGAAACCTTTAAGCCGGGGGTGACTTAATGGGTTAAGTTAAGTAAAAACATTCAGGGAAGTACATATATTACAAATTTTGATAGCTTTTTTATTTTTGCTCTTCAGGATGGAGGAGAAATAATTTTTAATTTCGCATAACAGGGCAGGGAAGAAGGGTTTGGATTTAGAGAATTTGCATTTGTGAATATAAAATTTTGCCATGAGTAGAATAAAGTTAATTAAATGTAGTTTGTCACTTTCCTTTCTATTATTGTTATACAGACCAAATAAAACATGTTCCCATTTCACAGCAAGGGGATAATGAATTTTGGAGGTGATGAATACAGAGACATTCTGCCATAAATCATAGCAAAATGGACAATCCCAAAATAAATGAACAGTAGTTTCTTCCGAGGCATTACAGAAAACACACGATGTATTAATAGACCTATTAAATCTTGTAAGATAATGAGCAGATGGGTAAAATCTGTGAATTAACTTAAAGGAGACCTCTCTTATTTTATTACTGATCATATATTTAAAAGGCAATAACCATACTTTATCCCAGCAAATGTCCGGAACCAAAATATTCCAGTATGATATAATATATGGCATAGACACTACATCCTGTTGAAAAATAGCCCGAATAGCTCGATTGTTCTTCTTTCTTATAGTGGTGAAACATGTTTTCCCTATGAACGTGTCGGCTGGATCCAATAGAAAAGAGGAGTCATCCGTATCATTGTCCAGGTTCTTGAAGAGCATCAGCAGTCCAGAGGGAATCGCTCCAATAGTCAATGAGTATTCCTTTAGTGTAGGACTAAAGTTAAATCGATTTTTCAGTTCTTCAAATGTCAAAGGAACACCCTGGTCATTTAAAAGCTGTTTCACCAACAGGATATTATTTTCAAACCAATTATAAAGAAATAGAGATTTACTCTTATGAGTTATATATTGGTTGTTCCAGATGTAACATTTGTGTGGGGAAAAGTTGTGTTTATAGGCTAGGGTCCATGACAATAGCATTTGTTTGTGAAAATTGGAAAGTACTACTGGGATTTTATTAACATTGTATTGACAGAGCAAGGTAAATTTTAAGCCACCAATTTTAGAGAAAACACAGTGAGGGAATATATACCAGATAGATAAAGGAGATTTCAAATAAGATTTCAGCCAATTGATTTTAAAGGTGTTGTTTAGGGTGGTAAAATCTAATAAGTTAAGGCCACCATTTCCATATGTATTCATCATTACAGATTTTTTAACATAGTACATGCGATTTTTCCACATAAAGTTAAATAATGTTTGATCAATTGATTTAAATATTTGCGGGTTTAAGTATAAAATAAGGATTGAGCTGCATATGTTAACCTAGAGATTCCTTCTGCTTTAGAGAGTAAGGCTCTACCTAAAAGTGAGAGGTCGCGTTGAAGCCATTGATTAAATCTTTTCTTAACATTCTTGAGTATGGGCTCAAAGTTGAGGGAACATCTTAAAGTTTGATTTTTGGATATAGTAACACCTAAGTATGTAACACTGTCTTTAACTTGTATTCCAGAGATATTAGTTAGATTGCAGTCCTTAATAGGGAGAAGTTCGCATTTTTGAATGTTAAGCTTGAGACCAGATGCTTCCGAGAAAGTTTTAATTAGATTAATGGCCTTAGAGATTTGGGAACTGTCCTTCAAGAATAAGGTAGTGTCATCAGCCAGTTGACTTATTATAATCTCTCTGTCTTCAACTGTAATTCCTTTGAGATTGTTGGATTTTAGATGGTCAGTGAGGAGTTGAGTAGCCAGTATAAAAAGGTAAGGAGATATGGGACAACCTTGTCTGATTCCCCTTTTTAAGTCAAATCTAGGCGTAGTTCCATATTTTAATTTAATCGAGCAATTAGCATTGTTGTATAGCAATTAGCATTGTTTTAATTGCCTTGCAAAAAAAAGGACCAAAGCCGAACTTTTCAAGACATCAAAATATAAAGTTGTGGTTGAGAGAATCAAAGGCCTTGTAAAAGTCGAGGAAGAGAATAAAGCTTTCATCTTTAATTAGATAAGAGTAGTCTAAGGTGTCTAATACTAATCGAATATTGTTAGATATATGTCTGTTCTGCATAAATCCTGACTGAGTTTCACTAATAACGGAGTCTAGGACAGCTTTAATTCTTTTAGCTAATATAGAAGCCAGAATTTTATAATCAATATTAAGAAGACATATGGGACGCCAGTTTTCTAGATTGAGGGGATCACACCGTTAATATGTAAACAGTGCACTTCCATACGTCCTTCATCGACGTGAATGGGCGTGAACAGAGGGGACGTCTGTTTTGAAAAGCGTGTAAACTGTTTTTTTATTCACGTATCTGTCTCCTCGCTTGCTGTAACTCTTACCTGGAAATAGAGATGACGACGGTTAAATTCCTCGCTGTTGACGTCATACCTGCGGTGAAACAGCTCCCTGAACGAGTCGAAATCAAATGCAGAGCCGTTTAACTTAGTCCGAGTCTGCCCCGAGCTCATATTTTGACAACACAGAGGAGAGACAAGTGCGCAAAAGGTGATTATAACACCCAAAAACACCAGACAACCCTTCATTTGACGAATAGATGTTGGTCAGAAACATGCAGAGATTAAAACGGGAAGTAGTTATAAATGTTTACATGATTGCGGAAAAGGTGCCGGGGAATGTCTGCGCATGCGCGGTTATCAGAGGCGCTTCCTTCGAAAGAGAAGGTATCCTGTCAAAATCTCAGCATCAAATATCAACGTGTTGTTCATTTTCTTTTTCAAAATAGCCCAGACTATGTGTAAATGGTTGTAGTCAAGATTTATGATTAATCTTGCGAGTAAAATGTTGGCTTGACTAGTGAAAAATTTTATAACGTTATAACATTTTATTAGAATTGTAAAGCTGTCAAATATGCGAACACACAATAGAACAGTAACACAACCAATCACTGACATTGTGAGCTAGCCATAATAACACAAAGATGGGGTTACAAGCCAGCAGAAGAGCTCATTATATTCAAGAAAGCAGGGGCTACTGATATTCTGACCATCAATGTGTGAGAACAAACCAACTGACAGCTTGAAAAAGTCTTTATGATTTTAAAACAATACTGTAGTTAAAATTCTAATTAAACAGATGTGTAAGCATTGTGTGCCACCTTTTAAAAACTTGGGTAATTAGGCCTACACAAGTTTAGGCTAATGATATGATTTTAAAACGGTTAAGATTTTGGCACAAATACATTTTTTAACAGTGTTTAACAGTGTTGATCTAATCTGTACAGAATCACGTATTACAATTAATATAAAAACATTAATTTGTTATCATGAGTAAAAATCCACACAAAAATGCATTTTTAAATTGCATTCATTTAGAATTATGGGTTAACTTGGATGCATACATTCCTTTCATGTCACATTTTATGGCTGCAACAAGCACTACGTAAGCTTGAATTTTGTACAACTTGTGACCATACACACCCACGCCCACACACATTGTACTGTAACATTGCTGTAGTTGCTCTCAGGCACAGTAGCAGCTGCAGACCATTTTTTCCCAGCCTGTTCTTTGTCTGGACCAGCAAACCAGTCAGTACACTGAGGGGAAAAAGTAGGCTACTCTTGTGCTTTCTGGAGTGGCATCTGATCCTGCCTTCATCATAACCAGAGCTCTTCCATAACATGCCAGAGGAAATGTCAGTTCCAGCAGGGGAACTCACCAACAAGCCCTTTGCGACCCAGTTGTCCAATGTTTACCTCAGCATCTTGGCACTGTTCTGCTTTAAGCTCTTTGTTAAGATTTCTCTCAACCTGTTGACATACTTCTACATTGTTCGTGGGAACCGTAAAGAAGCTGCCAGAATATCAGCAGAGTTCTATGATTATGGTCAACAACACAGTGAGTACACTGAGAACATCATAAAAACCCTTGGTGAGTCTTTTCTTCCCTGAAGCTGGCTTCTTTAATGTAAGTGACTGCACAATTCGCAGCATAAATATTTGTGCCTGGAATGAAACTTTGGTGTAAAATGTAGCCACTGTGTAACTGTATTTACACTATACACCAAGAAACATGTTTGACTACAGGCACATAAAGTCAGACACAGAAAATATTAATACAGTTTCCCATAAAATTAAGACAAAGAGCTTCCATTGACACACACATACACGTGTTTACAATGAGCTATAAATACTGCATTGCTAATCCAGTGTGTATAAGAGCCATTAAATGTATTCATATTCATACTATAGATATGAATGATAAGCCATTTTTCTTTCATTAGCTTAATAGCTTCCTATAAACCTTGAACTGTACATTCAATATTAAATGAATACACAACAGGCTGATAGCTCTTTTTCTCTAATGTATTAATAGAACACAGTCACGATAACCCCCACCCCCACCCTGCCCTAGTTTCCATTTCTAGCTATGCAGTGCACCCTTTCACAGTCAAACAGCAACCAAAACAACACTCCACATTCTCAGAGACAGGCGGTCCGAAGCCATATTCTGGGGAAGAGAGACACGACGACAAGATAATCTGTAGCTATCATTCAAGGGGATGTTTAATTTAAAGTGGACCTGCTCCATAAAATACTAATAAGCCAAGCTTAGTCTGTTAGTCACGGTCCTGTAGATATGGACTTTCTTGTTCTAAGAGATCTGTTTGATGTCTCTAGCTGGTCTTTTATACCCATATTTCAAATTAATGTCAGTCAAGAAAAATTGCCTGCCTGAATAAAATAGCATTAATTTAAATGAAAATATTTAGTTATTATCTATAATTTGTGATAAAAATGGAAGAAGGGGATAATGATGATGATAATGTGTGGAATGCATCAGCTGTTGTTATGGACATTGACTCAGGTGTGTTAAGTGACTTTTTCCCCCTTTTTGCCAAATTTAAAAATGCCCACAGCCAGCTTCTCACATTTATATTAATTTGAATGAAGTGTGAATGTGTTGAATATATCAGGTCTTTTCAAGCGCTGCTAGTTGCATTAATAATATGCTGCGCCTTGCATTAATTTTTAGATGAAGGGTAAAACATGGCATGAAAAGGTAATACATCAATTTGATTAACATATCAAGAGGATGGAGAGTTGATAAGTTCAGATTTGTAGTGGGGATTTCATTAAGCAGCTGTAATGGTTAATCAATAGAGGAATTATAACATAATAAAACATGGTAAATAAACTGAAATTCAATAAGACAAAAATACCAAGTATAATAATTTCACTGTTTCAGCTGTACATATATTTTCTATTATATTCAGTTAACATTATTTATGTACCCCATCCCCAAGTTTATAAGTAAAGCACTGAAGTGACTGAACTGTCAGACAATAAATGCATTTAACATTCTCTGCACACATCTATATACCAGTACTTTCCTGTCATTCTTACTTCAGGGCAGGTGGAATGTTTGTGTATATAATGTACTGTAAAGGTTCTCATTATGATCTTGTGGGTAATTTTAAATGGTTCTAGAGCAGGGGTGACCAATTCTAATCAGCAGCAGGTCAGGCAAAGATAGTTGGAAACCAAGCAGGACAGTGGCCCTCGAGGACTGGAATTGGCCACCCCTGCTCTAGAGCATCACGTAAATAATAAACAAGAATTAAATTTTTATTTTTGTCACAGGATCCTGGGCAGACCGCTCACCCCTCCACGATGCTGCAAGTCAAGGCCGCCTCCTGGCCCTGAGAACCCTCATTTTACAGGTGAAGAGAACACAGCTCCTCAAGAGAGTCACTTGCATCTGTACACATGGGGTCTGTCCTATACTGTACAAAATTTATATATTATATATTTCCAAATGACAGGTTCATGATTATTCTCCTGTCTGGTGCCCAAGCTTTTAGGAACAGGCCTACCTATACTACAACATGCTGTTACTGTACAAAATTGCTAAAACTCAGCATCTGACCATGAATAAAAAAATACTATAGTTAAATAAAATGCAAAAAGCTGTTTGTGTCAGCTTACTGTACATATGAACATACATACAAACATACTGTATATACAATATGTGACCATGATATATAGTGTTTGTTTGAGGGACATTCAAAGAGTTATTGATCAATAGCATCAACTAAGAAATGATGTTCCCAGAGAGAAGCTGACTGGGGATGCATTGCAATTGCCATCTCTACCTTTACTTGCATTTTCAAGATAGCAATCCATTTCAGTTACAAAGCCTACATAATGCCTCGTTCTTAACTCAGACAACCTTATGACAAAGCAGTGATATCATTACAGCATTTTATATGGAGCTTTATTAGTTCTTTGCTTGACTTGTGTTGGGTCTGTATTTTAATTAGCAAGCTTATTCATCTCTATTTTTTTAATGTGACTGTGCATTATACTGCGGTTTGTCAATTACTGAGAGCCAGAACTGGGAAGGATGGGCCTGTTTTACAAAAGAAGATAAGCTTATTGATGTTCTTGCATTTCCTAGTATTAATCAACAGAGTCTGACAAAGGTCATGTACTGCTTAATGCCTATTAAAGCACTAAGTGTCTGGCTGCTTGGTTTTGTTTCCAGGGTCACAGTGTGAATGTTCTGACTATAGACCATGTGACACCACTTCATGAGGCCTGTCTTGGAGACCATGTCGCTTGTGCGAGAGCTCTCATTGATGCAGGAGCAAATGTAAGTCACATACTGGCCTTGTGACTCTTTAATGTTGCTAGGCTGCACAGGTCAAATGTAATTTCCATGGTTTGGAAAGTCTGGGCAGGGGTAACAAATGAGCAATGTACCGCTCCCCCAGCTCCAGTACAGTTTCTGTAGAGCTATTAAGTTGTTGTTCCCCCAGGCTGCTGCTATTACTCAATATACATGGTTAAACAAAACCTAATAATAATAATAATAAAAAGAAAATGCATTTACAGGTCAATGCTTCTACAATTGATGGAGTCACCCCTCTGGTCAACGCCTGTACAGTGGGAAGTGTGGCATGCACTGAAATTCTTTTGGAAAATGGAGCAAAACCCCAGAGTCTTGTGTACCATCCCTCACCGATCCATGAAGCTACCAGCAAAGGTGTTTTATGACAAATTATTCTGCATATATTGTACTGTATGACAAAACACATCAACTAATACTTCAGGTAGTTTTCAATTGATGTTTTATACAAATGTTTTAATTAATTGCACATTTATAGGCTACCTACCTACCTAAGTGTCAGGTTCAAAAATATTTTTTTCTGCACTCAACCAGTACCAATTTTTATCTGTTTGCTGCTGATACTCAGTATCCTGACATTACCACTCAATATCTGTTATTTTGTTTAACATGAAGAGCCACTGTACCAGAGTCAAATTCCTCATGTCCAACACACCTGGCCAGTAAAGCTGATTCTGATTCTGATGAAACAATGTATCATTTCAGCTCTACTAGTTATAGCTTGATCTTGTGTACCAGCCGCTATTTGTGTCCTTCCCTGTGCTATAAAGCATTTTCTAACACCTGCACTATGAAAAACAGCTTTAAAAGAGAATCCTAACATGACCCGAGCAGACAGCTTGGAGAATTATCCCACATTGTCACTTACTGATTACTGTCTTCATGCTCCATTACTTCCAGGTCATTACGGTTGTGTGGAGGCTCTGGTGACTTGGGGGGCAGATGTGGACATGGACATTCCTCACCTGGGCACAGCGCTCTATACAGCTTGCATCTGTCAAGAGCTGGAGTGTGCCAGGAAACTCCTGAGGGAAGGTCAGCTCGCAGCACAGTGTGGATCTTTACATCTCCATACAGACAGGCACAAATCCTGCATGAACATATTCACACACATACACAAACAGAGTTACTGTGCACAGACAAACACAAAAACATATGCATGCAAAATGGATTTTATAAGCACCTGAACAGGCATTTTAACACAGACACAAACCAACTCCTGGGTTATAAAGAACAACACATATTTATGATATTCAGAAGTAATAGTACGTGATCACATTTTTCTGGACTGTAACTAGAATGGATAATTAAGTTGTATTTTACACAGGTGCAAATGTTCAAAAAGGCAAATCCCTGGATTCGCCCCTACATGCAGCTGCACAGAAAGACTGTACGGCAGTAGTGAAGCTGCTGCTGGACTTTGGTGCTGACATTAACGCTAGGAACACAGACTTTCAGAGGCCAGTAGACGTGGCTCCACCCAGCAGTTTAACTGAAGGCTTTCTACTGCTCTATGAAGGTACATGTTGACTTGTGGCTTGGTTCTGTATGCAATCTTGGATGTCTCTCTGAGCTCCTGTTTTTGAAATTAGGTTCAACTAAAATGTCTGCAATTAGATGTGTTTCTCTTTATCCGTGATCACAGGTTTTTGGGAAGTAGATTATGCATTAATTCTACAACCATATTAAATCATTTTTCATTGTCTCGTTTTCATAGCTACACCAAGACTGCTAAGCCAGCTGTGTCGTCAGTGTATCAGGAACTGTGTTGGCCGTCACAGACTCCACCTTCTCTCGCACCTTCCCCTGCCCAACAGGCTCAGGAGCTACCTGCAGTACCAATGACAACAGGAGACAACAACCAATCTACCTATGCCAGACTTCCAGAAAGAAGCCTTTGACACAACCAGCACATCAACTCTGTGTACTCTTCCTACTTTTAATTTTAATTTCCAGTCAGTGCAGTAAGAGCAATTAATTGAAATTAGTCACAGAGCAGCCACTGTGTTACCGACAGTAACTAGATGGGTTGAGCAGCCTCCATCTCATTGTGGATGTGTGGACCTGAGTGAATGTGAGGATGTTGCTTAAACAACCTTGCAGACTTGTTCTTTCCAGTATAAATTATGGTTAATATTACATCATAAAAACTGTGTTTGTAACTGTGTTCAGGTTTGCAGTGTTTAGGAAATGCCTTAATAGTTGCACAGCTATAGAAATTGATGAACTTTATAACATTTTAATGCTATAATGGCAATTAATTAAAATACAGTATATGAAGGCATAGTCAAAGTTTTGCATTTGATACCTAATGCGTTGCACACTACTAGTTGTTTAAAACAGTTTTGAAAGTAGTATTCCAAAATCTGTTGCCTTTGTGTGTGTATCTGTGTGTATATATATGGACTGCATTACTGACATAGAGGTTGATATGTATTCACAAATCTGAAAACAAAAATAGTTGACAAGTTTAAGCTTGGATTACTGAGTACTGACAACTGGAGGTGGCTGAGCTCAAATGGAAAATATGAGTAGGTGGAGCAGCAAGTGTTTGTCTCTATTGTTTCAAAAGCTAATGATATTGCAATTTGTTTGTTTCAATAGCTAATGCTGAAATGAAAGACATTATGAACTAAATATTCATATGAATAAAATAGAAGCATTACAAACAGAAATAGCATTTCATAATATTGAGCTGAGTTAAAATATTTCTAGTTAATTATTTCAGTTTCATGGTTATTATTCACATCTGTATTAATAAAAGTATGTATCTTGTTTTATTTTTATGATAACACTACAGCCCTACATTAAACAGGATGCAATCATTTAGCCTATATGGTTACAACACACATTAATATCATAATAAGCAGCTATAAAAACACTTTAGGTTTTCATGGATTGTACTATATTGCCAGTCATAATACACAAGCCTTTGCTTGTGGGTGCCTGCAGGGGTCACAGTTGTTGAGAAATACATAAATATATCTGTTTACAACTATATTATAGTGTGCTATTACATATTGCTTATAAATACTAAATGGGGGAGATTTAAAATAAAGTATTCCTATCTAATATATACAGGTAAAAATGCAGATACTGCATGTCCTCCACAAACTTGTATAATAAAGTTATATCCTGTAGGGGGCAGTAACGTGCCACAGCTGTATGCCCGCTTCCATTGGACCATGGCAAAGGAGTGTGTTGTTGCCATGGAAACATAAACAAAAAAGTCCAGGGCTACTAGCCGAATTCATTAGGGCTTAGATTGATTTCATGATTTAACCTGTTAGAAAACAGTACAGACATTACTGGTTTATAGACTTAATCAGACTCAGAGCAGCATGTACTATTCACAATGCCACACAAAGACAGGGCTGCCAAGAGAAGTCGTTAAGTGGCTGCAGAGCCTCGACTTGTCATTTTATCCGAAGAATGTGCGCAGGTAAAGAAATTGTCCTGTCATTACCTCTGTCTAATAACATACAGCATAGTGTATATAACCGTGATGTAACTTATTTTAAAAATAACAGCAATAAATATACTACAGTGAGGAATACAGTGCTACCAAGAAAGCAATTTGTTCAAAGTAAATTTCACAGGTAGACTTGGTGTAATGGGTCTGTTTTTTTTCCCCAGAGATTTTTCCAATGGTTACCTTGTGGCAGAGATATTTTCTTATTATTACCCCCAAGACTTCCCAGAGCATTCGTATGACAAAGGAACATCACTTTCTGCCAAGCAGAAAAACTGGAGCAAGATACAACGGGTAAGAAAAATATAGTACGGGGGAAGAAATGTCTTTTTACTCTGTTCAGCATGCATGTGGTTGAAATGCATTTTATGGTACAGTATAGCAATTAGTTCTGTTTCACTTTCCCTTTGTAGTATAGATTGAAGAGGTGTTTAAAATGGTTTTTAGGTTTCCAAACAAATGTGATATTGCTCAAGCTACAGTACCAGCACACAAATGCACAAATCCTTAAATAGCCATAATATAGACTGACGATATCTCTACCTATATGTACCTGAGGGATCACTAACAGGAAGTTCTTATTTAACACTGGATAGCTGCTGAAACTGTTTATTGTCCCAGGCTTTACAGAAACAGAATCTGCACTTGAGGAAGGAGGTTGTTGATGGAACCATTCACTGTAAACCAGGAGCAGCTGAGCTGTTGGTCAACGAGGTTTATGCTATTTTAACCAACCAAAGGTGAGGGGTGACTGGGAACAGGACAGGACACAGTTACTTTCTCTCTTTTAACAGAGATAATGGATGTTTTTATAATATTAAATACAGTATATACCTGGGGGGTAGTCACACTATAGATGTCTCCTATCTGTAATAATAGTTGTATTTTACTTCAAAGTTGTTTCAAGTAATGTGTCTCAGGTGTGTGTTACAGATTCTTGTAGATAATTATAACCCAATAAGTTTCCCTTCTCAGGATCATGGATGTTCAGAGCCCAGAGAGAGACTTCACTGACCAAGAGTACCAGGAGCTACTCCCCACGCTGGCCCGCTCTACGGCCTCCAAGGCCATTAAGAACAACCTGAGCATAACAGAGATCATGGCTGAGCCCAACTTCAGCACAAACCAGAGGAAGGCTGAACTCATCCTCCACAGACACCTGGAGCACAAAGCTGCAGAGAGAGCTCTCAACCCTGGTGGGTCACCAAGGGGTGATACCAACTTTCTGTTGGGGCAAATATAACTATCTTTACCCCTTCAGCCTGAATCATGTCAGATAATGTCATACTGATGCATTTCATTATGACAATGATACAAGAGTTGTAAACAAGTCACGTGGACTGACAGGGAGAACATGGGATTGGATATTAGAATTGTATGATCTCTAGCATAGCAAGGACCGTTTATAGTTCAGAAGACATTTTTCTCTGAATGTAGCAGAATTTGTCCAATTGTAACAGCGTTTTTGGTTTGGTGACAGAACACTTTAAGGTGAAGCCAAATCTGGGCCATCTGGCAGCCAAAAATCCTGTGCCATCCAGTCAGGGTAATGCTGACAACCATTCATCTGGAGGCACATCATCAAGTAAGTGTCAAGTCTTATATTCTCTCTCAGCAGAATCAGCTGAAAATATTGATGTGCTTAAAGGCATTGTTCAGTTGCAACAGATTCAGATAATTTGGCAAATAATGACAGTTAACAAGATGAAACTAGACGGGCACATTTATAGTTAGCTGCTATTTTATTCTGTGAAGGATCGGCTATTTGGCCTGTGTTTCAGTGGTGAAAGGGCAGAGGCTAAGTTGCTTGCTTTAAAGCAGTTTAGATGAAAAACATCATCGTGCCCAATTCATCTGCCATCAGGGTGTCAGTTTCTTTTGAAAAATATTAGTTTGTAACACAGATTTATGGTGGAGACACAAGATAAATGTGCTGAACAGCTTTTAGTTCATTTACAGAGAGTCTTCCTTCAACAAATTATAACCTACTGTAGTAATGGCTTGGTGCTCCTCAGAGGCTCCATACCATTTGAAGGCTGTACTGTATTAAGTGTGCAGTATATGTGGGTTTCTCTTTGCCACGATTAATTCAAACTGTAAATACCTAAAGTTAGTGTACTTTCTTACTTTGTCCCCTGGGTCCACAAAATCATGTACACTGAACAAACACTGCATTTCATTTGAATGTAAAGGTAATTGCAACTGCACTTGACCACTATGTTTTCCAATTTGTTGTTCTAGAGATGTGCTCAACAACATGAGGTGGAGCTGTTGTTCCCTTTAAGGAGGTAAAGGTGCATCAGCCTGTAGGATGTTCTCTGGTTAACTATTAAAGAAACCGAATGGAGATCTATGCTGGTTGGGTGTATTTGTGTGTGTGTGTGTGTGTGTGTGTCACTTGACTATTGATGTTTTTCACAATAAATCCAAATGTAGCTTATTATTACTCCACACAAGTATAGTTTGTGCTGAAAGACAGTTAACATTATGTATGTATGGTTTATGTCTGTTTGCACCAGCAGGTGACAGCATCGAGTCATGAGCAGCACCCTCCTCAGTGGTTTCAGAGACCAAAACCCACTGCTGTGGGTGTGCCATTGACAAAAAAGCAGAATGAATCATTGTATGTATTAAATATTGCCCAGCAATGTGTTTGTTTCACTGTGCTCATTCAGAGCTTCTTCAGCCATTACTGCGTCTCCCCTCATTTACTATCAATGAGGCAACAGACAGGCCTTTTTTCTAGAATCTGCAGTGTAGGAAATGATCATAAGTCACCTGCCAAATTCTGGTAAATTTACACTGCACCTCATTACATTCTCTGTGGTAGGTGCCCCTTTATGTAATTAACCCTGATAACCGATCCCATAATTGGCTTGCTAGACACATAGACAAGAAAACTTTTCCCCTCACTTTGTCTTGGTTAATTATTAATATTAAGAATTTTCAAGCCATTGGCCAGATACCTATCAGAACTCACTGTACATGGTCGAGTCTCTATGTAATGTATTGAGACTACACAGTGATCAAAGTTGTTGATGACCAAAGGCTAAAGATGTTTGGCTGTTCTTCTGTGAAGAGGTCAGTGAAACAAGGTAACAGGAATTACTCGACAGATAGATCCCACTATGTCAGCACTGATGGCACCATACAGTATGTTATGCACTTTCACTGGAGCAGCTCAGGCCTGGGTCATCTCACCTTATCTGTACATCAATTAGTGCAGAAGTTAATTCTATAATTTAATTATTCTTAAGAATACACACAGAATAACCACACTAACCTTACTTAATTTCTTAAAAACAACACATACTGTAGCTTAATATATCTATGAAAGTAGGTAAACATAAAGACGTAGGAACACTTGCAAAATAAATGCTGTTATCTTCTTTTTGTGTTTATTTTTGCATACTTATTGATACTTGGGTTTTGCTGGTGCCAAACCACTCCAGTTCACTTAGACTGAGATCACTCTGTTGGCCCCAGATCGTCGAGCACCCATGGATGCTCAGTGTACAATACAATGAAGCTGTGAAGCTAGTGCAAATAGATGACAGGATGATAAGTATTTCTGGCTGAATGCCTGGCTTCTCAAGTGGTTAAGAGCCTGGGTTTTCAATAGAGAGACAGGACAATCCTGTAATGATATAATCTCCACAGCCTCAGACTATTAGCTACAGATGACCGTTAAATTTATTATAACCATAAATGTGAGTCTTAAATTGTTGTAAGGGAGCAGCATTTGGGTCAACTGCAAAATCAATATTGTACACTACATTAGCTATTGCTAAGCTTTAAACTAAATGTTTATATATTTTATTTTTAAAAACTATCAATAATAATGAGTTTTCTTTAGCGTAACAGCTGAAGAAATCCACCAGCTTATAACATATCTGATGGTCTTTGTGAAATTAGCGACTCCTGTTTCCATGGTCGTCGGTAAAGCCTCTCTCCCTGCCTCCCCCAGTGAAGCTGTAAAAACCTGAACTCTTTAATCTTTCAGTGTCTTTTGATTTCCCTCTGCTTGACTGCGCGTGAGCACACATCAGCACTTAAGACGGAGAGCGCTGTCGCCTGTTGATTTCTGCAGGTGCTGGGTGATGAGCGTTGGAATTTAGATTTTTCAATATTGAGTGTCACTGGTTTATACTGAAACAATCTTTCAGTGTCTTTTGATTTCCCTCAGCTTGTCTGCGTGTGCGCACACATCAGCACTTAAGACGGAGAGCGCTGTCGCCTGTTGATTTCTGCAGGTGCTGGGTGATGAGCGTCGGAATTTAGATTTTTCACTATCGAGTGTCATTGGTTTGTACTGAAAATCCAGAATGTGAGGCACAGTCATGATCAGCAGCAGGTGATATATCAATGTACAACAATAAATGTGCTGTACAGTACAGACAAGTCGGCATCCTGATGTATTCCTTTTCTATACACGGTAAATTATCAACGTTTGCATTATAATCAGTTAAATGTGCTGTTTTAAATGAAAAGAGCCGAGTAGGGCTAAAAGCTTTTTCTATATTTATTCTACATCTATATCTCTCTCCTACTGAACATTATCTAGGGCCTGGTTGCTATGGCAACTAGCAAGCCCATGCTGGAGAGCAACCAGAAGACATTAATAATAGGCTTACAGTGAGCCTCTCTGGCTCCTTCTCTTGGACATGAGCACAGGCAGTGGCTGCAGGATTTCAAGCTGCTTGCAGGTGTAGCAGATGAATATGCAGTGTGAACATTCTCAAAACCTTACAGTGCATATGATTTTATACTCTGCTCCTGTAATTTTAAGTGTTTTATTTCCATAAAAAAAATGCACTTTACCGTTCAGACTCTTGTGGCACAGAGTTATGAGCCACTGTTTTCTGTTGCATAGTTGCTAACGGTGTGAAAATTGTTCTTTCCTGTGTGAAGTACACAACTTTATTAACGTGCTAACTAGCCATAGTTGCAATGTTTCAGCTAGGTAGAGTCTGTTGTTGCCTTTTTCTGCCCTTCAGATGTGAATAGAGAGACCTGACAGACGGATGTACTGATTTAGTTGTGTTTCACACAGAGAATAAACTCTCCTGTGGATGGCAAACCCCTGTCTACGATTCGTCACTAAAGACACAACGCAGAGATTTAACTTGATGGCCACGTAGAGATGAGACCGGCTACACAGGCATACTAAAAATATGTAAACACACACTGACATTCATGTATTAAACACAGACAACATTTGTGATGAAAATCTGAGAAGCCAGAGAACTGAAGTTAGAATCCGAGGCGCCTAAAATGCCTTAAGAAAGTGTTTCACCATCTGCCAATTTTTTTTCTTTCAGCATTGTGGTACCCACATTATGAAGGAAGCTCTAGTGGTGAAGGGTTAGGGGATGTAGCAGGAAAATTAGGGAGGGGGTTGGGGGAGAGTTCAGCACCTTGTTGGAACTACAAACAGGAACACAGCTAGCCAGTAGGGATGCTGTGGGGATGCTGTGAGGCTTTGTAAGCTAAGGATTCCCCTAGAAGAGAAGCCCACCTCAATTCCCCCACAGCAAAGTCATTGTAGGCTACTGTGTGGCCATGTTGTCCAAGTAAAGGGGGGGACCTAATATGTCGGCATGCAAATAAATGTGTGAAAAGTCATGTGCATGTCAGTCAGATTTATATAGTATTCACTGAAGAGCTGTTTATATTTGTTTTCTAATTTCAGCTTAGTGACAATTCATTAAACACTGATAAGCTGCTGGCCCCTATCGGTGTCATTTTTAAAATCCCAGGAGGCTAAACTTAAGTCAGAATAAGTGTTTTTATGTACCACATGCAAGCAATGCCACTATTAATGCATTATGCTTTAGGTTAGAAGACGATTCAGCCTTTAAAAACAGACTTCATTTCATTAGTGCTATTTACTGTTTTCAAAATCATATGTACTATAAATATTTATTAAAAAGCAAAATTCAAAATGAAAGAATGCTTTGTGTAAAATAATTATTTAGAAATACTCAATCAAAATTTAAACACCGCACCAAGAGAACACAGTTGGCTTGTAATTATAAATTCTCTTTGCTAATTAATTATAGGCTACTGAAAAATAAACTACTGATTAAGGCCCAACAAATTTCAGCAACCTGGTTTTGAGAGGTTACTAAACAGAGGCAGGACGCTGAAGGCAGTGACCACAGTGCTCTTCACAGCTGCATCTGTACCCCTCAAGAGTGAGCAAACCTGCTAGAATTAGACACAGGAGTCTATGGCAACACAAGACAAGACAAAGAAATTAATTTACTCGAGCAAAAAAAGGAAAATTCCTTACACACCACCCGGCCCTTACTCATTTATGCACTCTTACAACAACACAAAGTACGTCTTGTCAAGTGATCTACAGTAGTTGGCAATATCTCAAAATGCAGAATGAGCCACTAAAACAGAATAAAAATGTAAATACGCTGCATAACGATATTTATTATATTAACAAAGTTGATACCAAATACAGTTGGAGTGTACACTGTGTGTACTTGTAGTTTAATTTGAGCAGTAGAGTGATATTTGAATTGGAGTTGGACTAAATCATATCACAGAATTAAATTCAGAACTATGTGGAGCTACATTCAAACAGGATACAAGGTTAAATGTGTATATGGAGACTGATGCAAACTATAATTCAACAGCAACTTAAAGCTTATGTTTGCAAAAGCTTACTTTAATAAAATGAACCAAAGTCACAGTTTTTTTTTTTTTACTTTTTAAACCAGATACTCACATCAAGTTGTCTTTTGCAAGTATTTTTATGTTTACTGGTTTAAACACTAAAGGCTTGGACAAAATGAACTCGCATTACCTGAATTGTGTTGACAAGCATCTGTTCAGTCTGCCCAAACCTTCACTGTTGATTTCCAAATAACAAAACATTAAGTTTTGTTTCGGTTCTCCGTTATGGGTTGACCAAAAACGACAACTGGGCTCCAAACTTTATGTTCAAAGGCACCAAATCCACCTGTCTGATCATTAATCCATGTGTCTGCATTATATAGTACAGCGTAGTACATTTCACAGCAGTTTAATGTACCTTGGTGATCTTGAGTTATTGCTCTGTGCCATCCTTCTATCCATTTTTTTTCTCTTGGTTGTTCTTTGGTCTTGATCTTCATCAGTTCAGGTCATTCACTGTTTTTAGTTACTAACTAACTGGTTTACATATAAAATCTGTATTTACATTGTGCATATTGACTGCCAGCTATCTTTTCCTCTGTGGGAGCAGACCTACTATAACTTAAATACAAAATTTGCATGCAACTTCAGACAGCCCCCTCCCTATCAGTCAGTCAAATTCTAGCCTGCCTACTGGACGTAGATGTAGCCATGGGGAGGGCACATCGAATCAAAATATTGGTAGGGACATGTTCCTACCATCCACATGCAAAACTATGCCCTTGGCAATATGTTTCTACACATACAGTGTGCATTTACATGACAAGAATCCAGTGACACCTTCATGAACGTATAATTGAATCCCTATGACTAATAAGATGAGGAAAATCCCATTCTGAAATCACATGTCCCCCTCCCCGATTCAAAGAAAGTTTCAGTTAGTGTAGCAAAGCCCCTGCTGGAGGGAGTAAGGAGCACGATGGGCTTAACCATTCTGTCTAAGAGCCAGGGGTGTCTGGGGGGTGGGGGGGCAGACGAGTAATGGTGACCCACACTGGTGAACAACACTGTCTAAACATGGCACAATCAAGAGGTCATGATTTATTGCTCAGTCCATACTTCAGAGCTGATTTTAATGTTTTAACTGCACATTTCTCCCACAGCTGCCTTTGTCAATGCATACCTCTTTTTTTCTGGCCACCACAGAGACCACCCTCTGCTCCATCCAGCCCCCCTACTCCCCTCCTCCTCCTGCACAAGGGACTAAGGAGGTTTTCAGCACTTGCTACGGCAGCTCACAATGGACAGCACCACAAAGAGTCAGTGATCCCTCGCATCACCTGAACGCTTGACAGAAGCCACAGCTGACAAGCAATCTCAGTGTTCAGTAGAGACATCTGTAGAAAAAGTGGAAAAGATAGCCGAAGAGCACTGTGGACTACCCCTTAAAAATACATAAGGTTTTGAACTTGCAACTCCAAAAAGCCATTTTTCAAATATCTCTTCTTGCTCTAAAAACAACATCAGCACAATGGAAGAAGACATGGATGAGGGGCAGACCCAGAAAGGTAAGAAAGAATATCTTGCATATTTTGGTAGGTTTCCCTAAGAAAATCTGACATGAATGTTTCATCAGCGTGTCAGTAGTGGCTGTGCAGAGACAAATGCACCAATGTTAGCCCTTTCCCTTTTGAATAGGGGAGCAGCTGTTTGTGGTAAATCCTTTGTCCATTGAGTGTCAGCACTCCAAAGAGTGTGCGTCTGTATGTGCTGTTTGGGTAGTCAGAGGGGTGTGAACTGCTTCAGCGAGGGCTGGATTGTCTTTGTTTGATAAGGCTTTCGTGCTTGTCGCAATGGCTGAGAGGAAACACAAAGAGTGAAGAACCAAACCAGGCTTCTATGCCCACTAATCCATCAGCTGAGGGTCCATCCTTTGTGCCCAGCTACCCAGACATACCTTTAACAGCGATGCTTTGAAACATTAAGAAAGGAATTAATGGAGGAGCAGGGGGTTTTATTTACTTATTTATTTATTTGATTCATTTAAGAGGGGCAATGTTTGTTTTGTGCAAAGTGAAATTGCTGTGTATACTTCACACCCCCACCCCCACCTTTTCTCTGCATGAATGATTTAGTGTGCGGTTCAGGCTCTCAAAAACAAGGAAGTGAAAATGTACTTTTGTTTACTAGTAGACCATAACATCTTGAATAAAGCTGTTACTTCTGAAGTCACCCCAAAGTGACACATGAGCAGAGATGTTCACCTTTCCCCTCTGATTTACTTCATGTGACAGGCATGGCTTCATGTGTTTGTGTCACAGGCACACACATAAGCTGAAACAGTTGCCATGGCACTGGGTAAGTGTAGACTCTGTCCATTCTCTCTTCACCCACTCCTGCTGATGACATTTCAGTAGCACAGGAATAGTTGGTTGTCTTAGTGAGTGTGGGAAGCAGAGAGACAGAAAAAGGTATAGAGGCAGGCTGCTAGAAATTAAGTAGAAGATGACACGGAGAGGAAAAGAGATTGTGAGATGAGATGTTTGGGGGAATATAGGAAGCTGGATAAAGAGAGAATGATGCTTGACTATATGTTTGTTATGCACATCCAGTAACTACAAACATTTTCTATTTTGTTCCCTGTTAATTCAAAATTGCTGCAAGATGATTTACGAGGGTGTTATTCCCATGGTTGGTAGTTTGTCATACAGGTATGCACCATCAAAAAGCTTACAGATTTTGATCTAATACCTCTTGGTCACCATTACTTGGTGCATACTGAGGCATTTGTGTTCACAAAGTAAATTCTGTCAGCCTTGGTCACTAACACAAATGCTCATCAAACTGAAAGATGCATCCATACAAGCTGTGCATACATTTTCTGTACATTGTGTCCATTCATTTGGGTGAGGTGTAGGTTTGAAAAAGACTAATTACTAGGTGTGCATATACTGTAAGCTTAGTCTGACTGATTCTGGCTAATTGGCAAATGTTTTCTCCTCAATAACTAAAAGGTTAAAGGTTTCATCCCTTGTTATTTTGGTTTCACGCCTAATTGTTTTAACAAACTCCAACTCTACAAATCACACATGATAATAAACTGACCAATAAATTAAATGATAAATTGTCAAGTCAGAGGTTGGGGATTGGTGACTGTGGACACTTTAAGTATCTTGTGAATGTCAAGCAAGATTGTTTACCTATTTGAACACAACTCTGTTTTAAGATTTGTACCGTAGATGCTTTGGATGTCAACTGTGTAATGTCTTTACTATCTATTACAAATTTATTACATTGTTAAAGGACAATTCAATAGATTTGGGTAATGAAACATGCTATAAACATCATTGGAGGCAGCAGCTAATTCTAAATAAATATGTACTACCACCTCTGAAGATGTGTAGGTGTCAATGAGTGCACTCACAGCACGCTAATGCGCTTCTGTCTTCCTCTACTGAGGCTGCAAATTTCTGATTATGAGTCAGACGCACCAGGTGGGCACTGTTTACTTCAGCTTCCAAAAGTAGCAGTGCACACTATGTACCAAGGGGCCATAAGCAGCAGGAAATAAACCAAAGGCCTATGGCTGACAAAGCAGTGCTCCACTAACATGAACACAGGGCTGAGATGATTCAGGTTTTGCAGAGACATTCTGCACATGAGAATAAGATTTCTTTATTCTTAAACAATATTACCCAACAACATTTTGGGGATGGTTCACACTGGCACTATTAATGGCCCCTGAATAGAAAAAGTGAGAACAGTACACCTGTTAGCATTTCCTGAGCCAAGAATAGACTCTGCAAGGTACCACTTGTCCTTCTGTTGATCAGGCTACAAACTGTTGATGCATGTTGAGCATCTTATTGATTTTTCTAATCAATCTGCATGAAGTACAACTGTTTGTGTTTTTTTGACAAATGACAGGAAACAAACATGGCAGACAATCAAGCTTTGTTTTATTTTTAATGGCCCATTCAGTTTGATGCACTTTGAATTTATAGCTCCCACAGTAAATGTCAAATTTGCATTGAGGCTACGACGTGGTGAATTCACAAAAAGTTGCTTTCAATCTTGCAGCTAGAATAATATACTGGTTTGGCAATATACAGGGCAAAATAATTGTGTCATTAATAAGTATTTATAGGGTATATAATTGATTATTTCTCCAGCTCATTTATTCCTACTGTTAAATATTGTTCTTGTGAATGTACTCCTTCATTTCTAGGTAGCAGCAAATCCAAGAGTTTTCCTTTCAATTAGTTCATCTTGCTTTAAAGAGATTCCAAATAATTTTACTGGTACAGATTATTGGCAGCAGTGGAGAGTTTCTGTTTTACAATGACCTGACTGCTGTTTCAAGGCTTTTCCACTTTGATGGTAGCGGCAACTCACAATATCTTCAGTGAGATCTGGTCCTGTTGTGATACAAACTCTCTCTTTCCCCGTCTCTCCCCCTTCTCACACACATTGTTCTGAACCCTAATTTGCCCTAGCCCAGTGGGAGTCAAGGGGAGTTCCACCAATTGTTCACAAGAAATGTGTTAGTGCTATTACTGGAAAACGTCTGCTGGATTTCTTATTGTTCTCACAGGAATGGCACACTAGACTTTTAGATATGTACAAGATAACAGGTGTTAAACACGGCACATTCATTAATCCATTCCCAAATGTCCACAATGAGTCCTTGTAATGATGATGTCTTAAAAGTATAATGTGATAGTGAAGTCACAGTTGCTTTGCTTTGTTCTATTTTAATACCAGGAAAACAACATTTTTGATAGGAAAGCTAAGTTAAGGAGTATTTGAAAACTGTGACCAAGAATTTGAATTTACAAATTGCTGCCAAATTCAAGTAAATACTACAGAGAGCTCTGATTACCATTATCCCCTTGCTGCTGGCTGCCTTTAATGTGTACAATAAACATATCTAAGCTCATTTCACTCTATAAAATGACACTGCAGTTAAAGTGTACAAACTGAAAGTCTCTTCTCAGAGTTTTGACTTTTCGCTCTCGGTCCCTGCAGTGAACTTTACACAGACGAAAGGCACATCCCCGATCAGCAGTCATCTTCAGACTCTTCAGTTTCTTAACAAAAAATCAAGAGTGGAAATCAGTGGCTGAGCCTTTGGACCTGGCCTGTAACGTCCTTTTTGCCCAGAGGGGTTGTGTGTGTGTAATGTGTCTCATTCACTATTGTCCCACTGAATTTGTTGACATACAGTAAGTGGGTCATGGCTCTAAAGTACCCCGTCTATTCTCAGATTTTGCACTGCGGTTGACATGGTAACCATACTGGTTGATTAAACATGCGCAGAGGAGATGAGGGCGTGCATGAGCTAGGGAAAAAAAACCCCTGCTTGCTTCAGGGGAAGGGGGGCTGCACATTAAATATAGGAAAGCAGTGAGACATGTATACGCCCATTACTCACAGGCTGACACAGACACACCATCCCCCATCTGAGATCTCTCCCTCTCTCTATAGGACCAGGCTGGCTGGTTGAGGTTTTATGTTTAGAGAGGTATTTACAGATTGAAGGAACTCATGAGAAATAAGAATAAATCATCACCACAAAATATCAAAGAAAGCATAAGACATTTCAGAAGTGCCATTATACACTATACCTGCAATATCACAGCTAAATGAGCTAAATTCCACTTCAAGTCAAGTCAAGTGTGTTTACTGTTATATGCACAGTGAGGAAATGCGTTTCCTTCTACAATGAAATTCTTACTTTGCTGTCCGCACGAATGCCACACAATATAAAGGAAATATAAAGTAAATACATAGGTAACACAAAATCTAAGGCACTTTAAAACGGCCAATGAAAGAAGCATAATGAAAAACACAAGAGCACAATGTAGTGAAGAGAGAATGAACTTGAGCTTTACAAAATGTTTAATTGCATTAGAATTCTGACAATTCTTGGAAAAATACTGAGGTGCTTGAAACTTTTAAATATGTTGAAATATAATATGTTTCTCCTTTGACAAAATCCATTAAACAAATGTTAGAAAGAAAAACGCCAGTAACTAAGGTAATAAGTATACTGACTGCTGAACTGCAAGGGCCATGAAATAAAATCTTATTTAAGCAGAAGGAAACTGAGCTACATCAGTAAGGTTAGAAAAATGCTTAAGAAATATTAAACATGGACAAACAAAATCTACTGTTACTGATTGCAGAAATGTTAGAGCCAGAATTCCTACGAATGACGTTGTTTGGCTTTAGGCATCATTTAAAGATAATCTCACCCATCATGTGAATGTTGGTGGGGTCAGCTACAGTCTGAGTATGTGTTTGTGTTTGTGTGTGTGTCCTTGTTTGTTCCTTTTGCCCGTCGGATATGACACTGACAGATGGAGGCAAAGTAGGAGGTGGGAGGAGCCTTGGGAGGAGGTCATCCTGTACTGTTAGGGAGATGCCTTCTGTTGATTGGACCATGGTTTTTGGGGTCATGTAGGCTTTAAATATTTTTGTGTGTGTGTGTGTGTGTGTGTGTGTGGAGGCTAAAATGCTTCAAACTCCCACCATCTGAAATCCTGACTCTGTTCAAAATACATTA